TATATCATTAATGGATGTTTATCCTTTGTAGGCATTATCTCACCAAGTTCCTACAACAGTGCTGTGTGGTAGAAACTATTATCATCATCCCACCCTCAGGAAACTGAGGCTCGATGAAGGGGAGGGACTTGTTCTGAGTCACACGGCTCGTAGGTAGAGACTCTCAATTCCAGCACATCTGATTCCACAGCCTGTACCCCTAAGCCCTGTACCACTCAGCCTCTGCTCTGCAGGAACCAAAAGTTAAAATTGAGCTTCCTGGTGGTCTCCAGGGGCTGCGGGTGGGGAGGGGGTGATGGGAAGTTGTTGAATGGGTACAGAGTTTCAGGTTTGCAAGATGAAAAGTTCTGAAAATCAGCTGCACAACCAATTGACTTAACACGACTGAACTGTATACTTAAAGTGGTTAGGATGGAAAATCTTATGTGTATTTTACCACAATGATGGATGGATGGATGGATAGATAGAGAGATAAGGTGAACGAACTTCCCTGGGCCAGGCTCAAAGCGCAAGTGCTACTCTAACCAGCGAGGTGCTGAGAGCTGGTGGGAGGCCTTGGCAGAAGCAGGGGCAGCTGGGAGACCCTGGAGATGGGAGGCTCTGAGCCAGGAGTCACTAGCCGCCCCAGGACTGAAGGGTGGAGGATGCTGCTCATCTGTCTCTCATTCTTCAGCCCTCCCCACCCACCACGTGGCTGCTTCTGGGTCCAGGCCAGGTCCACCCAGCTTGTGTCCAGCACAACTCAAAGCACAGCCGAGCTGTGTGACCTTGGGTAGTCCTTGTGCTCTCTAAGCCTCAGTTTTCTCATCTGTTGTTTGGGATCACTCCTGATTTCATCTCACAGGACCCTTGGGAATGGCCTCCATTTGGGAAAACATTTTTAGTTTGTAAAGCCATGTAAGGCATCTAGTTGTCCATCCTTGTAGGGAAATAATAGCACAGAACTTTGGGTCAGAAGACCTGAGTTTTTACATTGCTTCCTCTAACCACACAACCTTGGGCAAATCACTTAATTAGAGCAGGGGGCTCAGTCTTCCCATCTGTGAAAAGGAGTAACTAATCGCTGCCTTATGCACCAGAGGGTTGTCTCGGATTCCACGACGGGATCCCCATAGTCTGCTTTAAAGGCCAGCGTTCTCCACACTCCACACACGCGTGTTCTGTATCTGCAGAAAGGCCCGTGGAGAGTGTCTGCCTCGGAGGGTTATTGGGAGGCTGCTACGGGGTGGGGCCCAGCAACCGGTAAATACTTAATTCACATTTACTACGTTGCTGCTGCCGTCACGTTTATTACACATCTGTCTTTCCCCCTGAAAGTTCTGGGCGGTTCAATTGAGCCCCTTGAGGACAAGGCCCACGGCCAGTTCATTTTTCGATTCCAAAGGCCTAGCACAGTCAGGGTGCAGCAGAACTGCTCAGAGAACTCGGCTGTGTGAATTAATGAACGTTTGCATGAATGAGTGGATTTGTACAAAGAATCCCCTGAGAAGACCATGAATAAGAATTGGCCCGTGATTCAGCCGTCCCAGCCTAGAGCCTTCACAGAGCCCAGGAGTTAGACTCCACCCCCCGCCCCAGGCCTGACCTCCTGTGAGGTCAGCCTCAGCCAGATCCAGGCGCAGCCCCGGTCCAGCTGTAGACTTGGAAGCGGCAGGTGGTGTTGGGGGGAGGAGGAAGGCATCCAAGTGGACACATGGAGGGGAGAGTTTAAAAGAACTTGGGCCACTGAACTTTGAGAAGGCTAGAGTGCCTTTTTCTTCCTTCCTTTCTTCCATCTTCCATCTTTAAGACATTTGTTTTCACTACAGTGTAATTCGCATACAATAAAATGTATGCATGAAGTCCACAGTTCAGTGAGTTTTGGCAAATGAAACCACCCATGCAACCAGCAACCCAAACAAGACAGAGAACATTTCCATCACCATTTACCCAGTGTGCTCTGCACAGGAGTTCCCTGCACCCCCTTCCCATCAGCCCCCCGACCCCGCACCCCGAGAGGTGGGTGTAGGTGGGCTCACACACAGCATAACAGCTGTGAATTCGTCCCTGTTGTGTACAACGGTAGTTCCTTCCTTTGTGTTGCCAAGTCGGGTGCTGTTGTATAAAAATACCACATTTTGTTTATCCATCTGCCTGTCAATGGCATTTGGGTTGTTTTCATGGGTGGCGATTATGAAGCAGGCGGCCC